ATTCTTCACTGCATGTGTTGAAGCCATTACACTGAAAGGGTTCAGTAGGCATGTGTGCAGCTCCACAGCCCTTAGGCTGTTCTACTGTAGAGCAGTACGGCAACTGGTCAGGGATCTGAGCAGAAGGATCCTTTCCTCCTCGCAGAACACCTGATTTGTCCTTTTATTTCAGCTAGCCTTGAAGAATGGTGCATGTCTTTTAAGGTTTATCACTATATAGACTTTTTATACTTACAGCAGAAGGCTATTTATATGCTGTGTTCATTTGATTCCATATTTTCCTATCAGTGTGTGTTCACGGTCATTTGCATCATGTTAACTATCATGTTTAGCTGAGGATCTTAAACATGTACATATATCTATATCCCTTAACTGAGCCACGCAATGTTCTTCAGACCAAGGCAGATTACACTGTTTCTGTTTTACATGGTGGTAAAAGCTGGTACACAAAATATGGGATGGTTAGGGCAGAGTCACTCCTTGAAACAGAACGAAATATAGGACTTTTAATTGCTGTGGCTCAATTTACCACCTGTCTACAGCTTTTCAATCACAATAATATTATGGGTGATTTTATTTTTTTTATTATGGATTGTTTTTGTTTAGGTTTTCATGCTATTTAAGGCATGCTATGTCACACATCGTTAGAAATCAACTTCTTATATTGATTCTTTAGTTTGGCACACTGCCACCTAGCTGCACATTTCCCTGAGCAGTTCTGTAGTCAATGTGATGATAGGACAGAGGTGAAACATCTGCCAGCTAAGATTTATTTGGATTCACTTGAAATATGCTTCAGTAGTTAAGTTTCTGATAGGAAGAAGGGACAAAAATAGAACACAAGTATTATTACAGCTACAATTCATACAGTGACAGTTGACTTATGTATATAACTTTGAAGCAGATACTGTCATGAACACTATTTTTAGTCTGAAACTATCTGATAGTGAAGCTTGCAACATTAGTGGGAAAATGAGGATTACCCAGGCACATTTTAATAGCTAGAAATTTGGGAAAAGAAACAAGGGAAAAATGTAAATACATAGGATGCAGATTTACTGAATGTTTGTTTGGAGGGAATGAAAGCTGATTGTTGTAGTAATTCTTTGCTTAGGAAATAAAATCTGCTTGTTAGAGTGAAGATGTGGAACTAAGGTATATGAAGAGAACCTTCTATTATTTTGGGTTGAAGTGGATGTGACATCATTTGGAGAATTTGCAGCCAGGCTGCAAAAGCATTAAGTGGGTATTTCACCAGCACAGAAACTATGTGGTTTAAACAATACTTTAAAAGATGCTTTTTATCTCTAACATTTACTGGTCTGTTACCTTATCCTTGTATATCTCATGTAGAACCAGAAGAAGAAAGAGGAGAATGTAAGCTACATCTAAAGATACATGAAGAATGGTAAGGCATTAAATGAGGAGCAATACTTTTTATGAGAACAACTAATATTTGAAAACAGGTAAGAGCTCGTTTTGGCTCATTAAGCCTTATCAAGCATTGTCTAACTGCCCATTCAAAGCTTGTCTCACTTGTAGCCCAGACAGTCGCATCAACAGCTATGATACAGTTTCTTCAGAAAGGTGCAGAACTGGGAGTGTGGCAGCAAGGCAGGCCAAATCAACTGCTGCCCAAATGGCAAGTGGGCTCAAATGTTTCTCTGAAAGGATTGAAAGAAAGATGTGAATTTTGGAAGGGTATATTGGGATGGATGAATCCCTTTGACTGTTTCCTGATTTGAATAGTCTTGAGTCTCTACTTCCTCACCCCACAAAAGTAATCAATAGCTACTTGTTCTATATAATAGCAGATGTCAGAGCCAAACATTTAAAAATGCACTAGTGTGCATTTTAGCACTGTAGTTAAGTCCAGAGATCACTGCGTTCTGTGGGGCTTGTCAATGGGACTTGGAGGAAGGTCTCCAAAATACTGTTCACTTAATGCAACAAAAGTTCATCACTCCCGTGGAAAGTCAATACTTCCACATCTGCGAGGAAGTTAACTCCAGTTCACAGAGGCTTGCAAAGTTGTTTTTGTTTTCCTGAACACTTGTAAAACATAAAACTTTTGAATATGTGTGCGTGTGGAGAGACATGTATTTCTGTGCCCTGTCTGTGCTGTGGTGATCTGCATCTTCTCTGCAGGAGTTGACACATACTATGTGCATGAATAATTTCTTAATTCAGCAGCTCCTACTGAAATTCTGTCCAATTCTTTTCATCCTTCTCTCACTGTGTCTGTGTGGCAAACACCCTGGGGTTCCTGTGGTTTCTGAAGTGTATTTGCATGATATTGTATAATGAGTGATTACATTGTTTTGTAGTTGTTTGAAGGAGGTCACAATAATATTTTTTTTACTACTTTTTTTTTTTTTGGTGATGTTTGTAATAACTTTAGTCATTTTGGGATCAACTGTCATGCAAAAAGAAGGAAATGTATGTAAGAATCACCTGATTGTGACAAATTATGAGAAGGGTTTAGATGCGTTGTAATACCTTGTTTTCCTGTAAATTACCCTCTAGAAGGGGGGAGGGACCTGTATTTTTATTTCTGTTTCTGTGTATTTGTCTTCTGAGGTGTAAGCACAGAAAAAGCAAATTTCTTTGCAGAGAGTGAAGTCAAGATTTTTTTGTTAGCAAGTAAGACCAAAACATTTCAAACATCTCTATCCTCTTGATAGCTTTTCCTATTATGGACTAGGACTTTGGAAAAATCAGGTGGGAAATACCTTATGGGACTTAATTTTTCAAGACGTTTTTGAAAACTGTTTGCATATTCCCCAGTGCAAAATCAATTCCCAAAGCCTTATAGCACATACAGCACAGATGTTGAAGTGTCCATGTTTCTGTGGCTCACATGCTTCATCTGCACTTTGTACCATGACGATGAACTATCAGGGTACATTACCCACCTCTGTTGACTCTCTTAAGTTGTGCAGTCCTATCTGCAGTAATGCAAAATGACACAAAGGGAGAGGAGAGCAAAATATAGGTCTGTGACCTTCAACATATGCACAAAGCCTCCACCAGTGCCTGCCAGTGACACATACATATACAAGAAATGCTAGTTCTTCTGCATGGCTGACAGTCATTCAGGGCTATTGCTGTAGGTGGAGGAAGGGACCTGGTCAAGAACTTGGACACATCAACCATCAGGAAGGAAAAGTGGGATTGTGAGTCTACATTGGCCAAGGAGATGGAGAGAAGGAACCTTATGCAGGGGAGCAAAGGGAGGAAGAATGATTGCAGCACAGATGTTTATAGGAAGATGAGAGTGAGTGAGTTGGAGGAGCCTTGTATTTGAAAAAAGAGAATGGGGACATTCAGAGCTAATAGAGGTTTAGAGCAGAGGAATGACAAAGGAGTCTTTAAAGAGAAGAGGAGAAAAGATGATCCACAAAAAACTTGCAGGAGAAGAAGGCAAGAGGTCTTGGTACATGAAATTAAGTAGGTTGAAATACAGAACTCTGAAGTTTCTGTGCTCATTCTTCTACACTGCCCCTGATAGTGTTAATACTCTGTGAATTGCTATGTATTTGTATTAAATGTTTTTGAAAGATATAGAGATGTATTTCTGGACTGAATGTCAGAATCGGGGCCTTACATAACATTACCATTGTGTTACCAATATGCATTGTGTTACTTCTCTGTTCTTTGGCAAGGCTGATTATCTGACTTTAGGGCAGGCACATTTATTTTGGCCCTTGAAGCAATCAACTTATTTGAAAGAGTTTTATATTTATAAATCCCATCTTAACAGAGTGTCAGCAAAGACCCATTACATGTAACAAAAGCAGGGAGCAGGGTGTTGATTCGTTTAGCTTCATCTGCCATCATTGAAGAAAAAGAGGTACCTACAGAAGGGAGTTGCTGGCTCCTGGCTTCAAGCTGAGAGAACTCTTTTCTCTGTCCATTGAGATCCCACAGAGAACCTTAGAGCCTCTTCAGGTCCAATACTCTTTCCCATGCTGGATGGTTTGGATATCCCTGCAATTGCTGTCATGAGAACTGAAATTTCTAAGTTTGTGGTTGCCGCAGGAGTTTCTTTTTAAAAGAGTGTCTGAAAGAAATCCAAATTTATATAAAAATGGACCATGGAAGCCAATGTATTTATTTTTCTTAACAACTTGGGCCTCTGAGGGTTTGACTATTTTTCTTTAGTAATTAATAGAGACAGTAGGATATGAACAGACAGTGTTTATACCACCCAAATTTAATCTTACGGGGATCTTTCTGAAGCTGATTAAGAGTAATAGACTCCTCCAGAAAGTGGTTCAAAGTACCTACATTAATTATTTAATGCATTTGTGGATAGTTAAATCATGGTTGCTATGCAAAAGAATTGATTGCAACTAGTGTTGCTGCTGCAATAAAGCGCAGCCCTGAGAAGTTACATGCAGGAAAGAGGAAACACTAGTAAACAAGGACTAATATGAAAAGCACAGGTTTAGTATATTCTGTTTATGTACAGTTTTTTGTCTGCATTTGACTCAATATATGAGCCCCTGAGACAGGTGAAACAGAAGATTGAAAGTAAATCGGTACTAATCATTTTGGTCTAATGCCGTTTGGAATCTGGCAGAAGTGGCAGTGGTATAGAAAGAAGCATTTGGTCAAGTTCAGTTTTTCTCTGAAATGTTTCTGTGAACTATGGTAAAAACAGATGGAATTGAAAACATAAAAAAGATAAAGAAAATGACAAAAGGAGAAAGCAATGCATTGTATTGGAAAATAATTACTTTTCAGTTTGGCCACTTGGAATGGATTTCAAAAGCCCCAAGTCAAAAGTAGTGTTTTTGTATGTTTTCACTTCCATTTCCATTAGAGATTTTCTTTTTCATGGAACACATCTTCATCTGTAAAACAAATACACACTTAATGCATTTAATGTTAAGAATAATAATGATTCATCCAGAATTTTAGAAGATCTTATTATGGAAAGAAGTCAGAAATGTCCGGTCTGTTGGCTGATGATTTTAGGGAGTATTTCTTTGAACATGTGCACTTATCACAATTGAAATTACTTGGAGGGAGAGAAAGACTTCATACAGGATGCTGTGCTGCTTGTGAGTGGCCATGCAGAATTTAACCGTCCTCTTGTTTTACTTCAGTCTTCTGTCCTTTCAACAACTTGCAGGTTTGTGACAGAGGGCAAAATCTGCCTCTTCCATACAGTGTCAGAGGTTGAGGTAAGTCGTCAGATTGTGCTTTACAGTATGTGTGTACATTAACTTTGTATTAAACTTTATTTAGGACAGGAGCATATTATTTACAGGTGAATTTGTGTCAAATCAGAAACTATTCTTTAGTAGTGCTCATTTATGCCCAGGAATCTTCAGAATGCAATATTTCTGTTTATTTCAAAATGTGGCTGCTAATTTTTGCTTCCTAAGTTTGCACAACTTAATTACAAATTGAGAGCAACTTAAAAACAGTTTCAAAAGTTATACTAACTAAAGTATTTTGAATCGTAAATTCAGATTTACTATAGTGATCAAAGAAGATTATTTATTATATATTTTACTTCGGAGCTTTATTGTTTAGTATTTGCTCCAGTTTTACAGTTGTCCAGCAGTATATCACTGCATTTTTAAAGAGAAGCATTTTCCATGCAGTAAGAACTCTCCTTTTATATTTCTTGAAAATATGTATCAAAGGGACAGCATTAAATTTAACATCATTAATTTTAGCATTAAATTATTTTGATGTGTACAAGTTTGGAGTAATGTGATGAGACTAAGAATTGCTGTGGCTTGATAGATTCGAAGAAAATGTTTTATCAGGTACACAGATGTTTGTCAAATTTGTCAAACCAGCTTATTATTTAGTGTGGTCTGTCTAAATTATAGAGGCTTTTGTGGTAATGCCATTGCATTCAGCATGCAAAGCTATTCTTTATTTATATTTATATAAATATTTATATATTTCTATGTCTATCTCGGTACCTCACCAGAGTAAAACCTAACAAGTTTAGAATTGTGTTTAAGAGAATTGAAAATGTTCAGAGAAATTTCTGTGAAAACATATCCATAACACATAAAAAGTAGGTTTTTATTAATATTTTCACATAAGGACTAACTAACATGAGTTGTAAAGGACCTATTTGAAAAAAAATCAAACAAAACCAAACAACACAAGTAATTAGATTTCAGTAAGACATTAAATGGATGAACTAGTTTTTGGAAAAGTCACAGGTATATATGATAAATCTATGTCTTGCACATTACCCAGCTTCTTTGGGAATCCTCATGTGGACAAAATAAAGGCATAGATTTGCTCTTCACACTGAAGTCTAAAGCCATGGTTCAACTGAGGATGATGAAGCAGTAGCTAGGATGTTATTTTGACTTTTGAAAAAGCAGTGGCAGACAAAAAGGCATATGAGGCCAAGGGCTAATTAAAAGATTCCAACCATATCTACAATTTTATCTGTGAAGAAATTGAATGTCTTCCCGTGCATTTGTGTATTCATACCAATTAAGTTTTTTTACTGCTTATTACTGGGAGGTGTGGATTTTATTTATTGTTCTGCCAAAAGCACACACACCCAAGACACAGATACTTCTGCTTGAATTAAAAAGTAATTTGGCTGCCATCGCTTATCAGCAGTTGAGTTTATCTGTACAGAATCTGTCCGCTTGATGCTGCCTTTTTTACACTGCTCCCCGCTGTCAGCAAGACAAGACCAGGCTAAAAGCATGGGCTCCCTCTCCTGGTTGCTGCTGGAGCTCTGAGCCCTTTGCCTTCGGGCAGTAGAATGGACACAACACGACTTGCAGCTTAATTCAAACAATTACACTTTGAGACAAAAATATAATCAAGTAGCTATTAAAATAGATTTAGTCTAATCTTTAAAATGCAACAGAAATATAAAACTTGCATTTGAAATACCAGGACACTCTAAAGTAATAGTTATGATGAAAGTGCATCAGATAGACCAGAAAAGAAAATATTGGGCAGAAACAAGTTTTTACTTTCTGTGATTTCAGGTACTAAAAGGGAAGGGGGAGGGAATGGAAAAGGGAGGATGCAGATTAACCAACCCTATATCTTGTGTAAAACTCAACAGGAAACTAATATTCCATCTCTCACTTCTTTTTAGCCATCCCCAGACTCTAGGGCATAATTTATCTCAAGATCCATTGATTTTTTTTTCAGTTCTTAGCTGGATAAGCTGTGACAAACATGATCTAAAGTTGGTCCTTGAGCTGGAGGTTGATCAAAATAACCTCTTTAAGTCCTTCCAGCATACATTGTTTGGTGTTTCTGTCCTAAATGTGAGAGAAAGATTAAATTTCTGAAAAAGAATTTGTGTAATATAGCCTTTAACCCTATATTAATCTTGAAAGGCCTTTTAGATTCCAACGTAGAAAATGGCATTCTACTTGTGTAAAGAGAGAGGCCTGGATCCACTTTCTGCACTTTTACCCTTTGCATAGTCAGGCCTTTGCAAGAGGAGAGGTGTGATACAGTTGCAGAGTACAAGGCTGCAGATTAGGGACCTCCTCAGACATTATGCAAAATGGCTGCATGTTCCCTGTACTGACTGATAGCTATTGCTAAAGCTGTAGAAAGCAACATACAACTCATTTCAAAAGGAATCTCTTAGGCTGAGGACTCAGGTGATAGTCTCTGACATGCCTGTACACTGAGGGAAGGCTGCACAGGCTATATGAAAGGGAGTGGTTTTAATACCCTTTGTTCTGACCAACAGTTATCACAGCGCTGCTTGACACAGTCGTTCACTGCAAGGGAGAGAGAGCAGATGAATGTGAACTCTCCTCCCATCCCTAAATACTGAACAGCAGCCCATAATTTGTTTGAAAGAGAAGTTTACAGTGTCAGAGGAAAGCAAGGCAACATACAATATTCCAAGAGTAAGAAGATGGTCCTGAGTAGAAGCAATCATCTAGGTGTTCTTGATTCCCTCCCCCCACCCCGGAGTACAGCTTGTCTCCCTCTATCAACAATGCAAGTAACTTTGCAAGTATGGTCTTTGAAGGCTAAACTTAACCTTTTTCCTTTCCTTCTCTTATTTCAGTGTCCAGCATGATTTTCTCAGTCTTTTAGGCCATGGATAAATATGGAGTTTGTTTTTTATCTCACGAGTTTGAACTATATGTGAAAAAGCAGTGAGATCAACTTGCCACAACAGATTCCCATCATCCTTTCATGGACATGTCAGATGACAGGTTTGTTTGGGCCTTTGCTGTGATTTTCTTTAAGGGTAACTATCAAAAGAAGGACTTTGCTTTTTCTACTAATAGTCTGAAAAACTGCGTTTACAAACATGATACCAGAATTATGAGATATATTTCAAGATGGGCTTTTTTTGGAGTTACTAAAGCTCAATATGCAAAGGGCAATTCTGAAGGTTTTAAGAAACAGGGTGCCTGAATCAGTCACATGTTAGCGATGAACCCAGCTAGAATGTAAGCATATATGAGAAGGAAGGTTAAAAATCCACCTTGGTAGTTCTATGATGATAGTCCTAATGAGAACACTGTATCCTCAGTTAATCCTCCCAGGTCACAATACCCTTGACTTACTAGACAGTTTTTCAGAAAATAGGAAAAAATCACGATCAGAAGCTACAGAGGTAACTTGGAGAAGCCTCATGTGATTATTTTTGCAAGTTGCCCCTCTGTTTACCAGGAGGAAATGTCATTGAAAATGTCGTTTGTAGAAATGGCTTTCAAGTCAGTGTATGTTTTACATGTTTCTTTGTTCAGTGATACTTGCTAAAAAATGCTGAACCCACAATGTAGTCCAAGGGATTAATGATAGTGCTGATATGTGCCCCTAATGGAGCCTATCAGAAGAATGAAGAAAGATATGCACCTGATATTGCCATTTCCACATGCTGTTCTAAAACCTGTCACAATAGCTCTTAGATTTACTTTGTAGCATGATGTAAATTTACTTAAAATAATTTTAGTTATAATAGCACATCTATAATTTTTTTATCCTGTTGATATTTAAATGGACATGATAGTAGTAATACACAGAAACCAGACAATATTCCTTCAGGTTTGTGAAACATCTGCATCTTCAGTGTTTCAGCAGTCACCCAGATGTTGCCAGGACAACAGAATACAGATATAATTAGTCTTCATATGATATATATATAATATATGTGTGTGTGTGTGTGTTTATACACGAATTTAATTAACTGGTGATTTTTAGAACTCACTGCTTTAATGTGATTACCTTAGAAGCACCTATATAAATAGCATTTATTAGATAGCTGTGTGCAATTCACTTACATTCAAACCATTAAGGCACCATTTACCACTCTAAACTCTATGCAGGCAAGTGAATGGAGCAAAAAACCTGCTTTGAAAGCATCCTCACATTAGAAACTCTCTGCCGTTATAGCTGGCTTTGAGATACATGATGGACAATACTGGGACTTGAAGGATGAGGTTTCAAGACTTAGTTTTTCTGCCACCAAAAAAAAAAAATTCTAATAATTGAGCTAGGATATAGTTATGAATGGTAGAGCTCAGAAGTTCAGAGACTCATTCCCTACTCCCTTCCACAGTTGTCTTCTCTTCCACAGTTGTCTTAACTCTATAACTGTAGGTGTTGATCTTTCGGTCCATACCCTACTATGCTAATTTTAATTTCAATCAATGGAAAATTTGACTCACAAGGGCTACATTATGACACAGAACAGGGATGTTTACATTCTTTTATATTTCTATATTGATATACCTGAGCTGGCTTTGAGCAGATAACATCTTTCAGGACAAATGCAAAGCTGGGCTGGCTCATGTCATAGAATCACAGAATCATTTAGATTGGAAAACACTCTTAAGATCATTGAGTCCAAGCATTAACCTAAGACTTCCAAGTCCCACTAACCGTGTCTTTAAGCACAACATCCACAGGTTGTGTGAATTGCCAAGTGACTGCTTAGATAGTTCCACAACGTGCAAATGCGCTTGAAGAATCAAGACCATTGCTTTCTGAAACCAAAAAAGGAGGCACAGCTTTAGCAATTAGATTTATTAGACTTTTTATTTTCTAGCACATTTTCATTACACTGTAGAACACGTGTTGTTGATATGAATGCCTGGGTTTTCAAGATGTGGTGTAAAAATATGATTATGATTACCCTACTCTCAGTTTTATCTGAGTTTTAGCCTATTTGATCCTATCACAAAATGCAAAAAAAAAAAATATTCCATATGCTGTCTAAAAAAATTCTGTGAGAAGTATGCACTGCTCATTGAAATACAGTATACATTCTATGAAATCTAGGTTTTTTTCTAACTTCATTTTATATTAGGTATATCTGCTTTTCAAGCATAAATTCTTTTGAAATAATTTCTTCTGCACCTTATATTGTTCTGCTGTAATAAAAACATGGTAGAATGTTTGCTGAAATGTACTTAATCCCAGCCTGTAGCTTGTGCCTTTACAGTAATCAAGTAGGGGTTCCAAATTATGAGTAATAAGTTTTAGGGAAGCAGGCGGGTGAAATAACACCACTGGCTTGCCTTAGTAACTTCAAAAGGAAACTTTTTTTCAGAATACACACAAAGAGATCACATTTGGAAGTTGAAAGGGTGCACTTCATCCTTTAGCCAAGACAAGAAGAACCAGCCAGCGTCTGAGAGATCTCTTAGTCAAATTATTTAAATAGAAATACAAATACAATGTTCTTTAAGTTGTAAGTAGCATGGATAAAGTTACTTATAGGCAAAGTGGCTTTATTATTGTTTCCAGATGTAAATTTTGAAACACAGAAACGACAGTTAGCATTTGGGTTCATTAAAAGTGATGTAGTTCAGGACTCATACAGCCTCATATACTCTTGGATGAAGAAATGGAAGACAGGAATGAGAACTTAGTGCAGTTGAAAGCACTAGGCACGGATGGAGCCATACTGTGAAGCTTGGGTAGGATGTGTTACTTGAAAAGCAGCATCTGGACACATAAACACACTAGCACAAATAATCAACAGTTTTGTTCTGTGGCCAAAAAGAAATTGGAAAAAAAGGTTCTCTCAATCTGACTTTGTTTTTCCTTGCTGCATCAAGACTAACATGCAGAGAATGATTTGCAAAGGAGGCAAAGGGAGACACAGCTTCCCATTTCCCACAGGAATTCAGAGCTTACTCCTCTGCTTTTAAGCAACTCTGAAGACATTTACTGTGAATAAAGCGAAGGTGCCCACTAAAAAAGTTACATTTTTACTCCTCTTGTTTGCTTCCACTGTGTGCTCAGCTTTGCCAGCTTGCTGTGCTGACATTAAGGATGAGTTTAGTCCCTAGAAGGTCATTCTCATTTATCCCAGAGGGCCACAGGACTCGTGGTGTATAGTTATGGGCTCCTTCAGGGTTCAAAAAGGCTCTCAAGCACAGGATAAGGAACCCTGAAGCCTAAAATCACACAGAGAGCAAGCCAGTGCAGGACAGAATACCAAGCTGATGCACCTCCAGGCAGCCTCTGGACAACAGCCTGCAGCAGATCCTTCAGCAGCCATGTGTGAGCAGTGGTGTTTATAGCCATTCCAAAGGTAGCATAGCCCTTGCCAGTATGTTTTAGCTCCTTTTCCCTTTCTAAAGGGCCAACAAATTTAGTGAGAGGGTTTTGGTTTATTGTCAGTCTTGCACAATAGCATTTCTAATGGAGCTTCAGCTGCAAAGCATCTTCTACTGGTGATACTTGTAATAGGTGGTGAAGGGTGAAATAACCATTTGCTCATCAAATTGTATTCATACCTTTTTTTTATATCAATATAATAAAGGCTATGCTCGGACTGGGAGATCATAAGTTGTAGAATAGTCAGCTGTAATGTTAATGTAGCGGTTGGCTGTTCTGCAGCTTGTGATTTTTCAATTCATATATCCCAAATCAATGTACTTTATGCTATTAATGCTTTGCTGAAAAATTATAAGTTATAGAAGAATTAATCATATACTATTAACATGATAACTTGTTTGCTTCGCTGAGTTGGTCTGCTATTTCCTGTTATTCTAAAAGTGTATTGTTCAGAATGTATTTCTGGAATGACAGGATACAGGCGAAAGAGAGACAGATAAAGAACAGAAGGTCAAGTACAAGGACGATAAGGAGGAACCAGGACGGACATCTGGAGAATCCCACACACCAGGCCTCATGGACTATGGACTCATCAAACTATTGATGGAAAGTCCCTGGCAACTGAACTGGACCTGCAAAAAAGGACCAACCAGAATAAACCCCAAGAACTCAGGTCCAATGAAGAGATAACAAGTGACTATGGGAGGGGAATTGATAAGGGTATAAAAGTTACTGTTTTGCCTGTTGCGCTCGCGGGCCGTGCGGAGCAAGGGTCTCCCCGGCCGCCCAGCGCGCTGTTTTGCTTATTTGCACTTTATATAAATCTTATAATAAATTTTTGCTGCTATAACTCAATTTAGTTTTAATTAACTATAACATACCGATGAGTATAAACTTGAGAAAAGCTATCTTGACTTTTACATTTCAGGCCTAGTTCAGAGAGGTGGCATTTACAAAAGGAAGCACAAACATATTTTAACTTATGAACGGAATAAAATTGATAGAAAATCTATGACGTCATTGGGTAATAAAAATACTCAGAGGAGTATTTTAGTACAGAATGGCATAGTGAGATAGGTTTTATTCTGTGAATTCCCTGAGGACACTGTATCTTCTCACTAAGGAATATATTCTATATTCATAATTCTTCTGTGACTGTACACTCTCAATTGCTGTAGTTTTCAAGGGGGTGCCACATGTGGAACTGAGTAACTCAAATTATATGATTGTTATAAAAAGATCTCTATTGAAGTGTTCCAGCTTTTAAAGTTTGTCCCTTGTTTCTGCACATAAATTTCTGTGAAGGCAGATTTTGTCTGTAAATGGATGCAGCCAAATGTGTAAGCAATACATATATACACATTACTTAACCAAAATAAAATTTTCTTGATTAGAATTTATTTTGGCTTTTTTTTATCCCGATAGTAGTACGGTTTTAAAAATATTTAACAAAAATGCACAAACTGTACTTCACATAAAACCCTCAGGAATACAATAATGCACCACAGAACGAGAATGAAAATAATTAATAATTCATAACATTTCAGTTGCTATAGCAGTATCTCCTACTAAATTAATAGAACAAGCAACTCTACAAAAAGCATAACAAAAATATTATGCCAGCACCGTCTCTCCTGAAATCATTCTTTTTTGGATGGTCTTCAGTGTAGGATTTTCACAAAGCAAGCCAGAGGTCGTGATGTATCTAACTCCATCCTTTTTTTTGTTAATGCAACTATTTATAGAAGTCTTTCATTTCTTAATAAAAATATAATTTTATTGTTGACATTAATCTCACTGAAGTTAGTGGAAAGGTTCATGATGAATTCTGTAAGACCTCACTGGTCCCTTAGTCACACAAATATCCATCTGTTTTCTTCAATTAAAGTTGTGTTTAAGGATGCAATTGCGGCACTTGCTGGTGCAAAAGTTAGGCTCATAAAATATATGGCTATCAAGCTTCACCTTATGAAAATCTAGCCTACAATGCAAAGGGATAGGGAAACTTAAAGGCACTTAATACTCTTCTGGTTTAAAGATGACCATGCATAACTCATTTGTGACTTTACATCAATGGACACCCTGTACTTTTGTGCATAAAGTCATCCAAGAGTCACAACTCAAAGGGCCATATTCTAGGGAGCCACAATTCCTTTGATATTTCTTTAAAATGACATGATAAATATAAATTGCAACTGAGAGAATCTGGTAAGCCTGATGCAAAAGTATCTAGACTGCCACACTCTAATAAGTTCCTTCATATGGCAACAGGCATTTCTGTAATTAAATCTGTCTAAGCTAACTATTTTGCATTACCAGTTAGCTTCCTAAGCTGAAAATTGCTGAAACTGCATTAAATGAGGTGCCTAATTCCTGAAGAAGCAGCCAAAAAAGCTATTTTCCACCATTACCACTAGTACATCTTGGGCTGCTTAATATTTCTTCAATGTGATCCTTATTGCCCATGAAGTTACCTCCAGGCCCACGTAGAAGTGCCCCCCAGAGTGGTTAAGAGTGCCCTCTTCTCCCATCTGAGTTCTGCTGGTTTGCAGGTGTTTAGAATTCCTCCCCCATTCAAAGCCAATCTTGCATTTATACTCAGGGGTTGCACCCTGACCACCGGTCTTCTAGAGCAATGCTAGTGCTACTGTCTTGTTGGCATTACAGTATTCTGCCAGGAGGTGAGAAGGAGGAACTCCAGGCTCTCTGGAGTCACTGGCTGTCACTTCCTCTGGGGGTCCTGTGGGTTCCAACTGCAGTGCATGCCAAGAAGAGAGTCCTCTGGTTAAACCCAGATCGCTGTGCTGCTGGGAGTGCAGGAGACTGCATCAAAAGAGGATGATAAAGCATAACTTTGCACCTTACCAAGTTGGGGAGACCAGATCTCCTGGATCAGGAGGGCACACACCTCTCTTAATGCTAGTGACAGATCTAGCCTTGGAATAACTGCTTTATCTGACGGAGGCAGCCAATTGTCAAATTATAAGAGTTCTGCATATCCTGTGTTTGAGAAAGTGCAGATACCCTGTAAGCAGAAATGTTTAGCAAGGGAAATAAGAATATACTCTAAACTGTTCAGTTAATTCTAGCACTGTTTGGGTTTAAGAGAATAAGTAGGCTACAAGGCTGTTTGTCTACTGACAGGGTTTCCTTTCAGAGAATAATATTGTATTGTATTACATGTAAATTAACTTCATGTAAATAAACTGCAGTTAACTTTCATATAGCTTAAAATGATTTTCCACCCTGGGAAAACTTTCAAGATTTTGAAGATTCTGTCCATCCATTATCAGGGTAATATGTTGAAATTTTGAGAGTGGTTGTGAACTCAACTAATGCTTTAATGTGAATTGTTCTTTTTGATTGTTTCTAAATATATAATTCCATTTAAAGGGTGTTATTTCAGCTATCACTGCCTTACATTTTAAGATGAAAGCTTTGAAAGAAAAACTGATCAAACAGAAAATTAGTTAGAAAATCATCTAAATAACTTTTCTCAATACTTTTGAAATGTTTCCTTTTTTTAATAGGAAATTCAGTGCCTTTGGCTCATCTCCCTCAGACAATTTCAGTTTAAACCATTTTTTATCTTGTGGCAAAAGCAGTCTTCTTAAATTTTCCATTCAACAGCATTCCTAATTCTGGAGGAGTAGGAACTCGTTATTATTTCTTCCGATGTGATGATGGATAGGCAGTCTGCTTTTGTACTTGTAAAATGTTATCTGATGGTTAGAGACATAAACATAATGCAATATCTTGAAACCCACAAACGCCTTAGTTATTTAATATAAAAATGAAGCAAAAAATATAGTGGTTTTTTTCCCAGCATTGACACCATGCAGTTACATTATAATGATTACATAGGATTTACATTAGTGACATCACACAACTATCTGTATCAATATTGGGTTCCAAAGAAATTGATTTTTGGATCTCCTTTGAAACATCAGAGGTCTGTTAGTGTCAGTCTTATAACAAAAATGTAAAGAAATCACTAGGATTAAAAAGACTTATAATGAGATGAAACATGTTCAGTTTTAGGTTTGCAGAGAATGCTTCAAGCCTTTTATATTTTACAAACATTGTTAAAATCCCATCTGGTGTTTGTGGAGTATTTTACTATCTCCTGCTGGGCCAGGCAGACATTGGTTTTCATGTCTGTATGTTTCCAAAACATTAGGAAAAAAATTGAATGGACCTGGACCAAGCACAGCATAATGATAGAATACTGTATTTCTATTCTTCTGCATTTGGGAACAGAGACAAATGTCCTTGATTCCAGAAAACATCCATCAGTTCCCATACTGGAACTTAAAGTGAAAAATGCAAAGAAGTAAATTTCTCTAAGTAGTTCAACATTCAACTTTCTTGTGCATGATATATTTTTATGAGCAATAAATATATAATTTCTGTTTCAATTATATATTTAATTTTCAAGGGGATTCATTTAGAAAATATAAAACCCAGATGAAAATGTGTTCCATTTTTATTTATGCATTTTTACTTTATGCAGTTAATTTTACTAATTAATTGGGTGTAAAAAAATAAATAAATATGAAAACAGAAATGCAAAGTCCTTCTAATTTTGTGTTCCTGGAGCCAGCATCATGCATACCACTGTCCCATTTTCTCTAAAGTCAATGGGAATAGATCCATTTCTGGTCTTACACTGCCTCTACAACTGGTATAGCTTTTAATTATTTCAATTTGGTTACTGAAGCAGTAAGACAGGAGAAAAGAGAATCAATTCAGAAAGGTGAAGGGTCAGTGGGTCTACATTTGGTGTTCTTTGTAGAAAGGATATAATTATCTAAAATGAGATGGCAGTGATGGCATAGCTACCTCATATAACTCTATTTTAATGGCTTAAGAAATATAAGTCTTTTCAAACACATTAGCTGCACTGAAGGCCCTAGAACGCATTTCCTTTTGCACTGATAATTCATAGAAAATGTATATACCTTGCCAAAATAAATTAAAAAAATCTTAGATGAACAGAAGTTTAAAAATAGACTGATTGCTTTTTAAGATGCAGTGGTCATACCATCGGAATACCAGATGGAATTTTCCTAGACAATTCTGTGGCTTTTACCTGATAGATGGCTAGCATTATAGCAGAAATGTGGTGCTTCTGATTTTATATTTGCTATTTTCTTAAAGGACAGACTTTAGGTGGGGGTGTAATTCTTGCTGCATTTGTTAATCCTTCATTCCTCCACATGAAATTTGCACACACAGGGCCCATCTGCCTGCCAAAAGAGGTGGGGAGCTGGTCTACACGCAGACACACATTTCATATAAACTTGATGTGTGAACAACCCAGGGGATTGATTGTGTATGTGGATAGTCAATAGGCACATCCCCACTTCCACAGTCTTGGCTCTTGTGAAACACATTGTCACTCTCATTCCAAGCCCTTAGTTCTCTCTCTTTATGGGTATCATGTCCATTCTTAGAGCTGAAGAATGAAGTTGAGAATGTGAGGTCAACAGATCATCTGATGCATAGATAAAAACCATGGAAGTTAGATTGTTCTCTGCTTCTCACTTTCTCTGACCAGTGTAAAAATCCACTTCCTTTGCTATTTAAAATTATATTTTCAAATTGTTACAGCAATTGTAAACATCATGATTATCAGCATTCTGGATAAAAGGCCCTTATTTCTATTTGAGGCACTTTGCTGAGTCTGCGTACAGAATTTGATAGCAGCTTTGTGCTGAGCAGCAAATGTGAACTGTTAATTCTCTGGGAAACAGAGTGGAAGGGTGGAGAAGCTCAGCCAGGCTAATTGCTGTCTCCTCCATAAGGCAGATGTGCAATATAGGCATTTGTTCAATGAAGATCTGAACGTATGATTAAATGGAACGGAAGGAAGACTTGGAGAAAGGCAAGAAGCTGAGAGTAGGAATTGCTACAATCTGTAACAGCAGGGAATCAATTGCCTATTCCAGCCCCTTTACTCTTTTTCTGGGGATATGGTGGTCAGTAGTGAGCTGGTGACCAGCTGTGGAGGTGGGGGTGGGAGGGAGCAAGGGGAGGAGTGATGGGAGAAAGGAGGCCAACTGCAGCTCTCCAGCAGGTGGGAATGATTATGGAAAGAATGACGACCTGTACTGTACAAGTTATTGATGGAAGCTCCCGGAGGAGTTGAGTTAATAAAGCTGCAGCCAAAATAAACCACATCCCTTGCATCTTGTCTTTCTTTCT